TGTAATACACTACAGGAAGTGTAGGGGGCGATATGGCTTCTACTGTTTCATTTAAAAAGCCTCTATAATGTTCATATGATCCACACAGTCACTCTGACAGACTGTAATACACTACAGGAAGCGTAGGGGGCGATATGGCTTCTATTGTTTCATTTAAAAAGTGCTCTGTAATGCTCTGTAATAGAGGTCACCAGTATTCGGTCCTGGATTTTACAGTTATTTTACAGAATAATTCATTATTTCTGGATGGATTAATTGAAACGTGTCTTGCCGGGCGACTCTGTTTGAAGCGAAGGGGGGGATTTTTTCAGGGAAGTATCACTTTAAGTGTTACAGTGAGTCACAGTGGCCCTCAGTCTGGTAAGTTTACCTCACCTGAGGTCATAGACTAACCGCTGAAGGCTGAGGGATCTTTTTTCCAAGGACTGACAAGGTTAAGTTCACACGCGCTCGTGCCAGAGCTCTGCTCCGAGTGTTTATCGGCCTGCGCCGGCCTCCGGAGCTCAGAGAAACGGGTCAACTTCAAGATTAGTAGCTCAAACAAAGCAGGTCTGTTAGAACTAGTGACATTAATAACACAGACGTTGATAAAGCGCTTTACGGCCGCGCTGGGGTAAAAATAGATTAGCTCTCTTGGCGTCGAGGCCCACCAGGAAAAGCTGACACTTGTGTTTTGCGGGTTTGATAAAGCCGTTTTTGAGGCAGGCGAGGTCGCAGCGCTGTGAGAGTTACCCTTGCTCAGACAAATCGAGCGCTGCGGTTTACTTTGAACACTTTCTAAAAGTTATTTTCTCCATTTTTCACCCAAATTTAGCCCCCGCAGGCAGGACATCACAGAGCTTATGGTCTCGGGCACCAACAGGGACGTCATTCAGACAACATTTTTTGGGGTGGAAGGAAGCAAAGTAGGGGTTTATTTACACGTCCGTGTCCCTGCCAGGCTGGGAGTGGACCGATAATCCAATAATAACTATGATTTATTATTCTACAATAAATATGTTATTAATAACTGTACACCAGCAGCCTACAGAGTAGGTGTTTCTGGTAAAGTGGCCAGTGAGCGGAAGTACAAGGTGGGCGTTTCTAATAAAGTGGACAGTTAGTGGAAGTATAAGGTAGGTGTTTCTAATAAAGTAGCCAGTTAGTGGAAGCACAAAGTAGGTGTTTCTGATAAAGTGGCAGGTTAGCAGGTGTTTCTGGTATAGTGGCCAGTTAGTAGAAATACAAGGTATGTGTATCTGATAAGGTTGCCAGTGAGTGGAAGTACAAGTTAGGTGTTTCTGATAAAGCGGCCAGTTGGTGGAAGCACAAGGTGGGTGTTTCTAATAAAGTGGTCAGTGAGTGGAAGTACAAGTTAGGTGTTTCTGATAAAGCGGCCAGTTGGTGGAAGCACAAGGTGGGTGTTTCTGATAAAGTGGTCAGTGAGTGGAAGCACAAGGTAGCTGTTTCTAATAAAGTGGCCAGTGTGTGTGAAAAAAGAGAGTGGTGACAGAGAGAGACAAAAAAGAATTATATACACAGAGAGAGAGAGAGAGAGAGAGAATGTGTGTCGTTCCTCTGGTTCTCCTGCTGCGTGTGCAGCTGATGGTATCTGGCAGGGTTTGGTGCGCTGGGAGTTTGTGTAATCTGTTCCATCAGCGTTCACTACCGAACAAATTAACGAAGACAAGCCGCGCCGCCTGAGCCAGCAGAATTCTTCCATTAGGAAAATTATAAAGCTATTATGGAGAACAATTTGGTCCTTTATGTAAACTGCGCTCTTCGGTGGGCTGCAGGCCGAGATTTAGCGGGGTGCACTTATCAGCGTTTGGGGGCAGTTATAAGGCTGTTATTAAAGGGGAATTCCACCAGTTTTTCAAAATTCCTCCATAACTCAGTGTGAGAGATGTAATCAGAGCGACTCAGAGCGGTTTGGTGTGAAAAGGTTCAGATGTCTTTACAGTGGTGGTGATAGGAACCAGGGGTTGCCATGACAACAACACAAATATAAAAGAATGAAATCTGTAAAAGGCACTGTAAAATTACAGTAAATTACCGGCTACTTGCATTATAGTGATTTACTGAACCATATTTACAGTAAATAATGGTAAAATAGCAGCTGCCACTCTACGGTCACCTGCACCACAAGATTACTGTGATTCTGCGGAACACTTACAGTAATAAGCTGCAATTAATTTGCATGTGAAAACATTGAATTGTAATATTACCAGACCTTTAAGTATGTTAATTAAAAAAAATGTACTTTGTTTTGCACTGTGTATGCAAATATATATATATATATATCTGAGTAATTTTTTTTAGATTTAATATGCAAATGCACATTTAAGAGACATTTTAACATTTATTATTATAATTGTTATATTTTATAAATGTAATTGTATAATAATTTGCACATGACCAAAAAACTCTGACAAAATCAAGAAACAAATGCATTTAACAAAACAAGAAAACACAAAATTAAAACTTTACAAGTCTTAAATGTCTGTAAAGCATCAACAAAATCTGATTCATCAGAATAAAAGCACTCAAAATGAATTTATTAAAATGTCCACAGTAATTTGCTGCGTTATGACAGAAACAATTGTGAGATGAGCTGATTTCACAATAAAATAATAAATACCTCATATACATTCATTTATATTCATTCATTTGATATACGTTCATTTTGTGTGGAATGTTGATGATGGAGAATAGTGGGGAAATCTGAAATAATAAGTTTTCTTTGGGGACTATTTTGCCTCACAGCGCCCTGCATGTATCCCTCCACCATGAATGGAGTTTAAGTTCATTCATGATGTCCATGTTTCTAGATAAAAGTGAGTCTTACAGTGTCAGAAACCACATCATCACGACTGTTTGGGGTAAAATTGAGCACCTTTCTCTTTAATGTTCTGCGCTGACTGGATCATGAGGTATTCCAGAAATGTTCTAGGACGTTCCTTATCTGTCTCTGAGCTGCACGAGTCAAGGATGTGAACGAGTCTCTCTGAGATCAGACGCGCCGACTGTTCTGATCTTCAGGTCACCTCAGATTAGAGGAGCGCACTTTAACAAAACATCACTGCTGCTCTTCAAGGGTTCTTCGGGAAAGAAAGAGGTATATAGAACCATGAACACTCAAAGAACCCTCTGTGTGGTTAAAGCGTTCTTTGCATCATGAAAGGGTTCCTCAGATTGATGGAGATCCATTTCACCATGCAGAGAAGCATTTAATCATGCAAATGGTTCTTTGAGTGTTCAAGGTTTTATGCAGAACCATTGCCTTTAGTACATTCTTTAAAAAGGTTTTTAAGGACACTAAAAAAGGGTTCTGCCGTTGTTACCATGTCAAACTTGTAACAGTACAAAAACCATTTTTGGTGCTATTTAGAACCCTTTTCAAAAAAGTTCCACATAGAACCATATACAGCACATCCTCCATCAATCTGAAGAACCATTTCACCATGCAAACAACAACTTAAGCATGCAGTGGGTTCTTTGAGTGTTCATGGTTCTATATAGAACCATTTTCTTTACTTAAGAACCCTTGAAGAACCTTTTTCAAAGAGTGTAGGAGAAGGAAAGAGTGTTGAGTTGTAACGTAAGTTAATGTAAAGAGGTAAAATGAATCTGGACTGTTTCTGTTGGTTTTTTTTTATTAAATTTAATTTTTAAAAATTTTCTGGATGTTAGAAATTAAATTCAAGCGAATAGTGATGTGAGAAAAGTGGTACTGAGTAAAAACACCAGATTTGCAGTAAAGCTAAAACTCTAATGTGTCAGTATTCATCCTAAAATGTAATTAATTCTTGTAAATTTCACATTTTTACACATTTATTCACATTTTTTCTTGTATTCTTGTCATTTTTTGAATTTTTTGTGCACTGAAAGCTTCCTGTTGGTAGTAACGGTGTTGATGTGTTAGATCTCCCTCGTGTAGATGTGAGGAACACGTTCTGCTGTAGTTGTTTGTTCCTGCAGAGCGCTGTTATAGAGCGTTTTTGTGGTTTTGGGGCGATAATGATACAGTGGAGATAAAGTGGGCGGAGTCTGTGGCGGCGGCGGTTCAGTCGACCCCCCCAGTTGTCGTGGCGGTGGGGTTGGGAGTCTGGAGCGCCGAGTTCCAGCCTAATTAACTCGATTTGTTCTCAACATCTGCTGCCCAGATGTTTCCAGGCTCCGCGAGCCGACTCCGAGAGAAAACAGTTTACCGCTGACTGATATAACACCGTCCAATCACAAGAACCGGACAGTTCGGGCCAGTGAGCAGAGTTTGTGTCAGTCACAGACGTTCTAGCTACTGTTCCTCTTCAGGGATTTACTGAGTGCAGAGATCCATGTAGAGTTCTTATTGTTGTGGTACTACACGTTTGATTTACTCCACTAAAACAGATTGATGGATTGTGCTGTATGTGGTTCTGTATAGCACCAGCAAGAGTTCTGCTATTGGATACAAGCTTGACATCATAACTATAGCAGATACAGAACCACATACAACTCATTCTCCATCAATCCGAAGAACCATTTCACATTGCAAAGAACCATTTAAGCATGCAAGTAGTTCTATGTAGAACTCATGGTTCTAAGTAGAACCTTTACTTTTACTAATAAACCCTTGAAGAACCGTCTCTGTGTGTAGAGGTTGCGGTTTTTGGGGTTCATTTTCGTGGAGGGAGCTGATAGTTTTAGTGGAGAACTTTTATTTATCTGAGCCACACAGACCTGCGCAGAACACAGAAATATCAAACATCAGGAAAATAAAAACATCTGGAAAATATCAAAAATCAGGATAATATCAAACATCAGGAAAATATCAGCAATCGTGTCAGTACATTTGTTTTTAAGTACAGAGTTTGATATGTAATTAAAGTAGTTAAAGTAGGGAAGATTTACATTAACTGTCATATATTAAAAACAGTATAAGAAACACTGCGGTCAGTTACAGCTGTGTGTGTGTGTGTGTGTGTGTGTGTGTGTGTGTGTGAGCAGCAGGTGTAACTTGTGTGTTTGTGTTTGTGCAG